AAAAGAAGGAAATTGGGCCACTTTCTTACACCATACACAACAATAAACTAAAAATGGATTAAAGTTTTAAATATAAAACCCAAAACCATAAAACTCCTATCAGAAAACATGGGCCTTGGTTGGGGTATGTGTGAGAAGCAACCAATTGATGCTTCTCTCTTGCATTGATGTCTCACACTCTCTCTCCCCATCCCTCTCACTCCCTCTACTCTCTCTACAAGTCAATGGAAAAAATATCCTCACACCCTGGCCGGTTTGGCTCAGCGGTTGAAGCATCGGCCTATGGACCAGAGAGTCCCGGGTTCGGTTCCTGCTAGGGGCACGTACCAAAAAATAAAAAATTCTCAGGTGAGGATTAACAACAAAAAAACATAGGCAGTAAACTCTTTGCAGTATCTTGTTGGATATGTCTCCTCAGGCAAAAGAAACAAAAGAAAATATAAACAAATAGGACTACATCAAAGGAAACTATCAACAAAACATATGAACAACCTACTGAATGGGAGAACATATTCGTCAATAATACATCCAATAAGGGGTTAATATCCAAAATATATAAGGAATTCATACAATTTAACACCAAAAACAAACAATCCAATTAAAAATTTGGCACAGGACCTGAATAGACATTTCTCCAAACAGGACACACAGATGGCCAATAGACACGAAAAGATGTTCAATGTCACAAATCATCAGGAAAATGCAAATTAAAACCACAGTGAGATCTCACCTCACACCTGTCAGAATGGCTATCATCAATAAATCAACAAATAACAAGTTTTGGCGAGGATGTGGAGAAAAAAGAACTCTCGTGCACTATTAGTGAGACTGCAAACTGGTGCAGTCACAATGGAAAACAGTATTAAGGTTCCTCAAAAAAATTAAAATAGAACTGCCCTATGACCCAGCGATTCCAATTCTGGGTATTTATCCAAAGAAATCCAAAAGACTATTTGAGAAGACATTTGCAACCCCATGTTCACAGTGACATTATTTACAATAGCCAAGATATGGAAGTAACCTAAGTGTCCATCGATAGACGATGGGATAAAGATGTGGTACATACAAGGTGGGGCAAAAGTAGGTTTACAGTTGTTCATATGGAAATACAATGATTAATATTAATACAAGAATAAACTCTGTATTTCGCATACTCACAAACGTAAACCTACTTTTTCCCCACCATATATACACTGGAAAATTACTTAGCCATAAAAAAAAGAATGAAATCTTACCATTTGCAACAACATGGACGAAGAGAATATATTATGCAAGGTAAAGTAAGTCATACAGAGAAAAACAAATATAATCTTACTTATATGTGGAATCTAAAGAACAAAACAATAAATAAACAAAAGTGAAACAGACCCATAAATATAGAGAACAAGCTGATGATTGCCAAAGAGGAGAGAGAAGGGAGGATGGAAATACAAAATACAAAAATAAAAAATAAAGAACATTTCCAACACTGCAGACATTTCTATTGGGCTGCACTGGTGTAGAATGTGTCTATCTCACCTTTTAAAAATATTTAGTAGTATTATCATCCATGTGAAAACACATTTTAGAATCTCACATACCATCCCACCCCTCTCCTACACACACGTGGAGCTAGAAGCCCTAGGTTCAGTCCCTCGCTCCTGCCAAAAAGTTGGTGGGTTCCTCATTTTACAGATGAGAAATCTGACACTCATAAAGAAGTGAGTGGCATGACTGCCAAGCCCTGTCCTACACTCAATGGCCACCCAGAAACACTACTTAGGAAGCCAAGGAACCCTGCGGTCCCCACACAGTGTCATGGGCCCAGACACGTCCATGCTGTCACAGCACACTTTGCTGGGTATTCTGGAGGGTTCGTGGACTCAGATGGGAGGACAACTTTTTCATCTCTACTCACTGAAGGAATTGAGTATACCTCCCACATGATGGATGCAAGCAAGACACAAGCTGACTGTCACCTGGGGAGATGGCAGGCATTTCCATGCCCTACTATACTGATGCAGATGGTTGTCACCAGGCTGCTCCTGGGCCTCACTATTAGTACATCAGTCGAGCACATTAAAGTCTCCACCACAGATGTCCTCACATGTCAGTACATGTATCTACACAAAACTGGCTCCCTTATCCCCTAAGCAGTAACAGTTTTCCCTGCAGTTCTTCGAATTATGGCTGCATGTATACAACATTCTTCTAAACAGCCAGAGTCAAAGAGGGAATCACAGAGGGATTAGAAAATACTCAGAGAAGAAAAGGGAAAGACATGGGAGCCAGCTAACGTAGCATCCAGAGAGAAGTCCATGGCTATGAACAGCTGTATTAAAAAAGAAGAGTCTTGAAAAAAAACAAAGGAAAAAAATTAATAAATGGGACTACATCAAACCAAAAAGATTCTGCACAGCCAAAGAAATCAGCATCAAATTGAAAAGGGAACCCACTCTCTAGGAGCACATATTTGCCAATGATACATCAGACAAGGAGTTAATTTCAAAAATATATAGAATACTCATACAACTCAACAAAAGAAAGACAAAGAATCCAATTTAAAAATGGGCAGAGGAGCCCTGGCTGGTTTGGCTCAGTTGTTGGAGTGTCAGCCTGCAGACCAGAGTCCTGGGTTTGGTTCCCACTAGGGCCATGTACAAAAAAAAAAAAAGAAAAATGGGCAGAGGACCTGAACAAATACCTCTCCAAAGAGGACATCAAATGGCCAAAAGACATGAAAAAATGCTGTGTCACTATCATCAGAGAGATGCAAATTAAAATGACTATGAGGTATCACTTCACACCTGCCAGAACGGCTGCCATCAACAAATCATCAAACAAGTGCTGGCGAGGGTGTGGAGAAAAGGGGACTCTACTACACCGCTGGTGGGAACAAAGACTGGTACAGCCACTTTGGAAAACAATATGTTGTTTCCTCAAAAAATTAAAAATTGAACTGCCATTTGACCTAATGATCGATCCCACTTCTAGGAATATATCCCAAGAAACTTGAAATGCCAATCAGAAAGAATATTATGTACCCCTATGTTCATAGCAGCACTATGTACAATTGTTAAGATTTGGAAACAGCCCAAGTGTCCATCAACAGATGAGTGGATTAAAAAGCTGTGATACTTATACACAATGGACTATTATGCAGCTGTGAGAAAGATCTCTTATCCTTTCAGATGACATGGAGGAACCTGGAGAGTATTATGCTAAGCAAAATAAGCCAATCAGAGAAAGACAAATATCACACAATCTCACTTATTTTTTTCTTTACTGGTTTTAGAGAGGAAGGGAGAAGGAGAAAGAGATAGAAACATCGATGAGAGAGAACATTGATTGGCCGCCTCTTGCATGCCTCCCAATGGGGATTTGTCCCACAATCTGGGCATGTGCCCTGACCGAGAATCGAACCAGTGACCTCTTGGTGCATGGGTCGACGCTCTAGCACTGAGCCACACAGACTGGGCACATGATCTCATTTATTCGTGGAATTAATGAACAAAATAAGCTGATGAACAAAACAGACCCAGAGACATTGAAGTAGGGTTCAGACTGACAAAGCTCAGAGGAGGTGGGCAAGGGGGTGGGAAGAGATAAACCAAAGAACTAATATGCATATATGCATAACCAATGGACATAGACAACAATGCTGGGGGGGGAGATCGGAAGGAGGGTATCAATGGGGGAAAAAGGAGAAACAACTGTAACAAAATTGATTTTTTTAAAAAAAGAAGTCTTAACCTTCCAAAGTAAAGGATAAAATTAAACCCAAAGCATGAAAGTCATTACCTTGGTGAGGGTCTGCAGACTGCTCTAAATGCCAAAAGTGTCCCTTGCCTTGGCCCAGCGGACCAGAAGGAAATGCACTAAAACATGAAGAGGATTTATTCCGTCTTTTTTTGTTGTTTTTTTTTTCAAAACTTCTTTTGAGGGCCACATGAGATTTATATCCACTAAGTCTATGAGAATTATTAAAACAGCAACAAAGCACTTGAACTTTGGGTCTGAAAGACAAGGGTAGCACCTGGCTGGTGTGGCTCAGTGCACTGAGCATCATCCCATGGACTGAGAAGTCCCAGTTCAATTCCTGGTCAGAGCACATGCCCAGGTTGTAGGCTTGATCCCCAGTAGAGGGCGTGCAAGAGGCAGCAGATTGATGTTTTTCTCTCATGGATGTTTTTATCTCTCTCCCTTCCTCTCTAAAAACAATTATCAATAAAGCCCAGCTGGTATGGCTCAGTGGTTGAGGGTCAACCCAGGCACCAAGAGGTCGCCGGTTCAATCCCCGGTCAGGGCACATGACCAGGTTGTGGGCCAAATCCCCCATTGGGGGCACGTAGGAAGCGGCCAGTCGATGTTCTCTCTCATTGATGTTTCCATCTCTCAATCCTTCTTCCTTCTTCTCTCTAAAATCAATAAAGAAGCCCTGGCCGGTTTGGCTCAGCAGTTAAAGCGTCGGCCTGCGGTCCTGAGAGACCCGGCTTCGGTTCCCGCTAAGGGCGCGTACCTCGGTTGCAGTTTGTCCCCGGCTCTGGTCAGTCGTGCGGGTGGCAGCCACTCGATGTGTTCCTTTCACATCGATGTTTCTCTCTCTCTCTCTCTCTCTGTTCCAAAAAATGGAAAAATGTCCTCGAGTGAGGATAAAAAAATAAAATAAAATCAATAAAGAAAAAAAAACTGGGGAGGGGGAAAAAATCAATAAAAAATATTAAAAAAACAAAACAAAAAACAGCCTGGCTGGTGTGGCTCACTGGTCAGGGCCCATGCCCAGGTTGTGGGCCAAATCCCCAATGTGGGGCATGCAGGAAGCGGCCAATCATTATTCTCTTGTCAATGTTTCCATCTCTCTCTTCCTCTCCCTTCCTCTCTCTCTCTAAACAATAAAGAAAAAAAATTTTTTAAATAAAAATAAAACACAAGAATAGGAACCTAAATGCTGCCCCCGAGCCTCACCTCCCCCGTGATAGGTGGTAACCCCTTTCTCTCTGGGCCACCTAGCCCCCACTCACCTTACGAGCCCATCCAAGCAGGACAATGTTGTACATGGGCAGGGTGAGCATCCGCTGCTGCCGGGACTTGCTGTGCTGCATGACCAGCACATGGTGGGCGAGGGGCAGCTGGTCCACAAGCACGCAGCACTCCAAGAAGGCCAGGAGTTTCTGCTGCTGGCCCTCACACCGCAACCTGGAAGCCCTGTCCACCAGGCCATGCTCCTCCTCACGGCTCAGCCTCCTTGGAGCCTCCTGTAGCAGCTGGGCCAGCTGCTCCTTCCAGGGACTCCTGGGGGTGCTGTGCTCCCAACACTGCAGGCGGTCTGCCAGATGCCCACTCAGCAGTTGGGGCTCCACACGCAGCTGCTGCTTGCGGACCCGCCGCTCAGCCCGCTGTTGCAGCTTCGCCTCCAGCTGTTGCTTGCGCTTCTGCATCTCAAGCTTCTCCTTGTCCAACTTCTGCGCCCAGCGGCCGCTGAGCCTCAGGTTGGCGCTCTCATTTCCAGCCTGTGCCTTCCTGGGTGGCTGGGAGCCACCAGCCTTTGGGAATCGAGCCACATCCACCAGCTTCGCTGTCACCTCTGACACATTGTCACCCTGCAGCTGCCGCACCCTGGCCTCAAGCACTGTGGGAAGGCAAAGGGCAAGGATGTCAGGGAAACCCAGTTCAAATCCTGATCTCTCCAGAAACCCCACCAGCCAGGAGGTAGGAAGTAAATGGTCTCACCTGCTCTTGAGGCCTCATTTCTATGTATTTGCTGACAACTCTCACACGTCCCCGGACTTTTGGGCACATGTACCCCTCACCTACTTAGCACCTCTCCACCCAATCCCTCTCGCACTCAATGTCCCATACAGGCCCCTGGTGTCCACTCTGCATCTCTATCACCACAGCTCTGTTTTCCAGGTGCTCAGTCCACACCTCCAGGGATATCTACACCACTCTCCCTCCACATCCACTGTTGGCACATCCCCAGGGCTCTGTCCTCAAAATCTACCCAGGTACCTCCATGCCCCCATGGCCTTCCACTGTCCCCTGCCACTCACTCTGCTCCTGCCATAAAGGTTTCAGAGCCTTTGCATATGCTGCTCTTGCTGACTAGAAGGCTCTCCAAGGATTCCCAGCCCAGTCCAGCCTTGCTCTACCCTTCCTGAGCTGTACCAGCAGCTCTGTTCTCTGTAGGTCTGTCGTCAGTCACCAGGACACTGAACTAGCAAACACAGAACCACTGCTCCTGGGGAAACACAAGGTTCCTGCAAGCTTCCAGTCACCTTTCTGCCAACTGATCAGCACATAATCCTGTTTGATGTGTTTAAGAGCCCTTATCTCACATATACTGTTGATTCAGTAACATCCAGCTTATAGTCAACAGCACTATCACTCACACCTAAACAAAGTGACAGTAACATATATTTTCTCCAAAAGGCACAGCATTGCCTTTCTGCTCAGGATCAATGGACAGCACCTCGGCTCTATGCCTGATGCCACTTAAAACAGCAAAGTCACCAACAAACAGCAAAAAAATGTAAAAGCATGGCTGCAAATACATCCTGTAAAGGCCACTGATTTATAGGGTGTACTGAAACAAAGCAGAATGTGCTTGGTTCCACCTCAGAGGGGTACATGCACATCTTCTGTGCTGTTCTGAACTTCAATGTTCACTGCTCTGCATATACCTACACAGTCATGAAAACACCTCGAGGATTGATTTGGGGTTGCAAATAAATTTTAGCTGCTAGATGACTTTGCAAGTATGCAATCAGTGGATCAACTACATTTGTCTCCTGCATGCATCTCTCATTAGAACATCAAGCCCCCAGAGTAGAGGACCAGCACACAGCAGGGGCTCTCAAAGGATTCTTGAAAATGAAGACGGGCATGAATTTTGCCTTTAGAGCCCTGGCCGGTTTGGCTCAGCGGTTAGAGCATCACCCTGTGGACAAGAGAGTCCCGGGTTCGTTCCCACTAAGGGTACATACCTCGGTTGCAGTTTGTCCCCAGCCCTGGTTGGGGTCATGTGGGTGGCGACCACTCGATGTATCTCTCTCATGTCAATGTTTCTCTCCCTCTCTTCCTCTCTCTATCTCCCTCCCGCTCTATCTGAAGATAAATGCAAAAATGTCCTCAGGTGAAGATAAAAAAAATAAAAAAAAGAATTTTGCCTTTAGAGTGGCCAAAATTCAAGATAATCAAATGCACAGGAGAGACTTACAGGCTGGAATGCGTCAAGGAAGAACTGAGGTAGATGTGAGTGGGAGCAGGGACATCTAAGCTGACCTAGAAGATGAGGCACTAGCTCTGTAGACAGCAGGGGAACAAGCAGGGGCAGAAGCCCTAAACAGCCACAGATCTTCCTGAAGAGGCTGCGAAGAAGGGCAAAGACCTTAGCGTATATACTCTATGCAGGAAGATTTTAGGCTGGACAGTGAGTGACACCAAGTGATTCAGAATTCCAAAACATTCCTCTGCTTGAATGATAAGATATCTGGGCTTTGCTTTCTACTAATTAGGTGGACCCTAGCCAGTTTGGCTCAACGGTTAGAGCATCAGCCTACGGACCAAAGGGCTGTGGGTTCAATCACTGGCCCCAGTTGGGGTCGTTCGAGAGGCAACCAATCGATGTGTCTTTCTCACATCGATGTTTCTTACTCTTTCCTTTCTCTCCCTCCTTCCCTTCCACTCTATCTAAAAAGCAATGGAAGCCCTCGCCGGTTTGGCTCAGCGGTTGGAGCGTTGGCCTGCGGTCCTGAGAGACCCGGGTTCGGTTCCCGCTGAGGGCGCGTACCTCGGTTGCAGTTTGTCCCCGGCCCTGGTCGGTTGTGCGGGTGGCAGCCACTCGATGTGTTCCTTTCACGTCGATGTTTCTCTCTCTCTCTCTGTTCCTCTCTCTCCCTCCCACTCTACCTGAATAAAAAATGGAAAAATGTCCTCGGGTGAGGATAAAAAAAAACAATGGAAAAATATCTTTGGGTAAGAATTAACAATAAAAATAAAAATAATTAGGTAGGTCAGCCTTTAAGAAGTACCTGCAGCCCTGGCCTGTTTGGTTCAGCGGTTAGAGCATCGGCCCATGGACCAGAGAGTCCCGGGTTCAGTTTCCGCTAAGGGCACGTACCTCGATTGCAGTTTGTTCCCAGGCCCAGTTGGGGTCGTGTGGGTGGCAACCACTCAATGTGTCTCTCTTACATCGATGTTTCTCTCTCTCTTCCTCCTGCTCTATCTGAATGAAGATAAATGCAAAAGGTCCTCGGGTGAGGATTAAAAAAAAAAAAGAAGAAGTACCTGCAGCCCAGGCAGTGGATTGAGCATCTGAGAGGTCTTGGTTGAATTCCCAGTCAGGACACAGGCCCGTGTTGCAGGCTCGGTCCCCAATAGGTGTCGTGCAGAAGGCAGCCAATTGATGTTTCTATTTCTCTTTCCCTTCCTCTTTCTCTAAATAATCAATAAAAACATTTTATTTATTTATTTTTTTAATCCTCACAAGAGGAAGAGAGAGAGAGAAACATCAATGTGAAAGGGACACATCGACTGGTTGCCTCCCACATTACCTGATCAGGGCTGGGGACGAAGTGCAACCAAGGTACATGCTCTTGATTGGAATTGAACCCACGACTCATCAGTCCTTAGGCCGACGTTCTAACTGCTAAGCCAAACTGGCCAGGGCAATAAAAACATATTCTTAAAAAAAAGAAGTATCTGGCCCTGGCCGGTTTGGCTCAGCGGTTAGAGCATCGGCCTGCGGTCCGGAGAGACCCGGGTTCGGTTCCCGCTAAGGGCATGTACTTCGGTTGCAGTTTGTCCCCGGCCCTGGTTGGATCGTGTGGGAGGCAGCCACTCGATGTGTCCCTTCACGTCGATGTTTCTCTCTCTCTCTGTCTCTTCCTCTCTCTCCCTCCCACTCTATCTGTACAAAAAATGGAAAAATGTCCTCGGGTGAGGATTAAAAAAAAAAAAAAAAAAAGTTACAAAAAAAAAAAAGAAGTATCTGTAATAGCCTTGACGGGTGTGGCTCGGTGTTTGGAGCGTCAGCCCACAGACCTAAGAGTAACAGGTTCAATTCCCAGTCCAGGGCATGTATCTGGGTTGCAGATTCTATCCCCCGCCCTGTCAGGGCATGTGCAGGAGGCAATCAGTTGATGTATCTCTCTCCCATGATGTTTCTCTCTCTCTCTCCCTACCCTTCTCTCCAAAAAAAAGGGAAAAAAATATCCTCCTGTGAGGATTAATCAAAAAAAGAAGCACCTGGCCCTGGCCGGTTTGGCTCAGCGGTTAGAGTGTCGGCCTGCGGTCCAGAGAGACCGGGGTTTGGTTCCCGCTAAGGGCACGTACCTCGGTTGCAGTTTGTCCCCAGCCCTGGTTGGTCGTGTGGGTGGCAGCCACTTGATGTGTCCCTTTCACGTCGATGTTTCTCTCTCTCTCTTTCTCTCTCTCTCTCCCACTCTATCTGAACAAAAAATATCCTCAAGTGAGGATAAAAAAAAAGAAGCACCTGTAATAAACCTATGCAAAGCAGGTCTCCAGCCAAGAGCCCTGATCCGGGCTTTCCAACCTCTCCTTGTGCTTGTTTTTTTTCCTTAATCTGTTCTTGCCCTGATTTCTATATAGGACTCTATATCTTCAGCTGTGGTATAGTACTTTAAAGTACTTGTACAACTTGACAACTATAGTACTTGTAAAGTTTCTACAAAGATGTTTCCTTTTCAGAGAAATTCATGAAGACACTCTGAGATACAGATTTCTAATTAACTTTCAGATCACAACACTGAACAGTTACAATTTATAAAACTCTAAGAAAAACTGGATTCACAAAACTGCTAACAAAAAGATGTAGATCAATAAGAATTAGTAACATGAGCCCTGGCTGGTTTGGTTCAGCGGGTAGAGCGTCGGATCGCGGACCAGAGAGCCCCGGGTCCAATACCTTGGTTACAGTTTGTCCCTGGCCCCGGTTGGGGTTGTGTGGGTGGCAGCCAGTTGATGTGTCTCTCTCACATCGATGTTTCTCTCTCTCTCCCTCCCACTCTATCTCAAGATAAATGAGAAAAAAAAAATGTCCTTGGGTGAGGACAAAAAAAAAATTAGTGACATGGGACTAAATGAACTAATAAGGATGATTATAATTTTTATGATGACTTTTTATATGAAATATTACTGGGTTTTTTATCCTTGTTTTCCAGATATAAGAATTTTTTCCCCCCTAAGTTAGCTATGACCCCTCCCACAGCAATTCAGTAAATTATACCTTTGTAAGCAGAATTGAAACATTTATCTTTCCTTCCTACTTGATTCCTCCAGAATTTCAGGTAATTTTAACTAATCTAATGTGACCAAATTTAATGGTGTTGACTTTTGGATTCATGTTTCCCAATTTAAAGAAATATCTTGCACCTAACAGACTGCTCAACCAAAAGATGATGTGAGCCTGGGCCGGCATGGTTCAGTGGTTAGAGCGTCGGCCTGCAAACAAAATGGTTGTGGGTTCGATTCCTAGTCAAGGGCACGTACCTGGGTTGCAGGTCTGATCCCTGGCCCTAGTTGGGGCCCATGTGGGAGGTAACCAATATATGTGTCTCTCTCACATCAATGTTTCTTTCTCTCTCTCTCCATCCCTCCCTCCCTCCCTTCTATTTTTTTTTTTTCATTTTAAGTTTTAATGCAAGTTGTATGTACAATTACTTTATTCCTGCATTTTCTCAATTGTTTCTTCCTTATATTTGCCCTTTTCCTTTCCTACTTGGCAAGATTTGGCTTTACACTCAAGGATCTTTTGGCAGTCTTTGTTCAGCTTTAGTCTAGTAATAACCACCTTGCTGCAGTGAACGCGCACATGAACAGTTGTACCATTAGCTTTCCCCCACTGCACTCGTTCAGTGCAGACGACCTATTTCTTCCTGTAAACCTGGACTACTTTGCCAATCCGCTGCCCTGTGTAATGTCCTCGAGCAACCTGAACTTAGTTATCCTTTTGGGTGGGCATGGACCAAACGTTGTACTTCTGTCTCAGCTCTTTGGAGAGAGGAGAAGACATAATCTTCTTGCGAATGTAGGAAGGTGAATTGAAATGCCTTTTACAGTTCTTGCTCTGGTCAGAAATCACAAAGAGATTGAACTTCATTTTGACTGCTGGCGCTTCTATGATGGCCTCAAAAGGGAAGAAAGAGTCCCTTCTACTCTCTCTAAAAATCAATGGAAAAAATATCCTCGGGTGAGGATTAACAACAACAAAAAAAGGATGTGGTATTTTAAATTACTAGGAAGTGAAGCAAGACAACACCTGTTGTGGACAACTAACCCCAGATTCCAGATCAGGCCTATATAATCTACACACCTTCCTTTTCCTTCTCACAAATGAGAGGCCAAACACTCACTATAATAATTATTGTTTCCTCTTAATTTCTTTCTTTCTCTCTTTTATTTTTTTAATTTTTAGAGAGAGAGGAAGGGAGTGGGAGAGAGAGAGAAACATCGATGAGAGAGAACATTAACTGGTCACCTCCTGCATGCCCCCCACTGGGGATTTGGCCCACAATCTGAGCATATGCCCTGATCGGGAATCAAACCGGTGACCCCTTGGTGCATGGGTCAACGCTCAACCACTGAGCCACACTGGCCAGGCTACCCTTAATTTCTACCTGGGAAGATAATTCAACATTGGGCATCATCTTTAAACCTATTTCACAGGTCAAAACATGCAACTATTTACATACATAGGTTTAATACCTGGCAATGTCAGCCCCAATAAAGGTACCAGATTTGGAAGAATACTTTTCCTTGGGCAGGTATTTATTACAATGAATAAATATACACTATTAGAAACTTATCCAAAACCTTAGAGGAAATTGCTACAACTACTGCCAAAACAACAGCCAATAAGGAAAAATATCTTTAAGTTCCCTGCATAAGTTATATTAGACAACAGAATTGCTCTTGACCATATCCTAGCTGAACAAGGTGGAATTTGCTGTTAGTACCTCCTGTTGTACTTGGATAAAACACCTCTGGTAAAATAAAGAGGAAAATAGATATAATCCAGGCACAAGCCAAATGACTAAATACAGTACCCACTGACACCTCATAGTTCTCTAACATCTTCAGCTGACTGCCCTGAAGTATTACCCCTGATTCAGATCTATTCTTCAAATTGGACTTAGCATTTTGTTTGTTACAGAAACTTTTGCTGTTATAAATTGTTTTGCATGTCTTGATGTTATAAAGACACCACTTTGATAATGGCTGTTCAATGTTTTGAAATGATCACTAAGGCCTATGAGACTTCATATAAAAAATCTTAAGAAACTACACTTTTTTCCTTAAAGAAATATGATGGGGGGGGGGAGGAACTAGCCCAGCCAGTGTGGCTCAGTGGACTGAACGTTGTTCCATGGACTGAGAGGTCCCGGTTTGCTTCCCGGTCAAGGCACGTGCCTGAGTTGCGTTGGAGGCAGCCAATCAATGTTTCCCGCTCATCGATGTTTCTAGCTCTCTCTCTCTCTAAAAAAATCAATAAAAACATTTTTTTTTTTTTAATGAAGAAATATGATGGCAAAGCCTTCCTTTGTTCTGGCGCTCTTGTTGCTCAAATGTGGTCTTAGGCTCCTAAAAAACTATTTTCCCTCCCACATGGGACATGACATACCAAGAATGAGCCTTCCTGGTGACAAGGGACCAACAATGGCATGATATAACCAAAACGAGCCATTTGACAATGAAAGACCAACAACGCTTTCAAGGAAAGATCAGGAAAAAAAGGGCAAAATGTAAAAAAATAATAATAATAAATGGAGCTGGAGCGACCATCCCAGAGAAATTGCCGTGCACATCTCATGCCTCAAACCTTGGAATGTTAAAACAGGGCAAGATAACCTAAGCAGCCCTGTGTCCCAAAGAACTGTTTGCAAAGATAACAAGAAAGCAGATGGTTATTGGATTAAAAATTTAAATGTGTAGAATTAGCATATCCACGTTATGTTAGTTGCACCAATAGCAATGCCTTCCTTCTATGGATGTAATTGTTTTCCTTCACCTTCTCATAAATACCCTTTGCCTTTGTCTCCTAATTGGAACACTGTTTGGGTTTCTGTCTGAATTAATTACTACTAAATAGCTAGTCTCACTGGTCTCAAATAAATGCTTGTTAAGCCCACCTAGAAAGCCCAGCTAGGGCAACATGGGTCAGTTCAGGGTTCTAATCCTGGCTCTGCAAGTGCAGCTGTGTGTGGCCTTGGGCCAGTCTCTCCAGCCACAATTCTGAGTGTCAGCTGTCTGGAAAGTGGGAGCACCAGGTAGGTGTGGGAAAGGAGGGAACCATAATCGGTCACTGCTTCATTATCATGATGGGCCCTCAGGACCACCAGAGAGGTGGGACCGCATTAGTTACAGTTTTACAGACTGACACCCCTTCTTGTGTGGTCTCCGTGAGAAACCAGGCAGGTGAGGCAGAGAGGCCAACTAGGGGACAAAGAAGGGGCTTCAGGCCTCAAGCCTTAGGGCTCACCCTCCAGCAGCTCCGCGTGGCCCCAGTCCCTCCTGCGATCTTGCTCACAAGGGCTGGCAGACGAACTCCTCCTGCAGCCCCATACGCCACCCAGGGCCCCTGTGGGAGAGAGGGGTAAGTTGAAAGGGAGGATCGGGCACCTGGGGGGGGGGGGGGGCTCGTGTGGACAGATATTGCAGGATCCACGGGCAAAGAAACCCTAAATTTTCAGTGGAAGCTGTCAGTGTTCACGGTCTCACACTGAAAGAAAAGATCAAAGTTAAAGAGGTCCCCATGCGCTTATAAAACTGGAGTGAGGGATCAAGGATAAAGGGTTCCTTGAACCAAAGGTACGGCCAGTTCAAATGTCAATAGAGCTAGATAGCAAACAGGGGGTCGGTCAGAAAGCACCAAAAAGAAACCGAGTGTCCTGCCGACCCCTGTTGGATGAGTGCGTCAAGGGCAAGTGAAAACGGGGTCGTGTCAGTGGGTTCCCCAGAACTGCAAAAGGCAAAGGTCGTGGGATTGTAGCTAGATCCCAGGCCGAAAAGCCAAAGGTCACGGCCGGGTGTTGGGGGTGGGGAGTGGCAGCAGCCTCGGGGTCGCCCCTTGGCCTCCCCTGTGTTACCTTCCTCGGCCAAGAGGCTGGGGCGGCCGGCCGGCCACAAGGCCCATCCGAACCCGGCCGCGCCGCGGCCCCAGCGCAGCGCCGACATGCCGCCCGCACGCGGACCCAACTAGCCGCGCGTTCAGCGCCTGCGCCCCCGGCGCCTGCCGTGAGTTGTAGTTCCACAACCTACGGCACCCGGGAAGGGACTACACGGCCGATAAAGGCCCTCAGAACCACAACTACCAGAGGGCAACCAAGCCCCGGAAGCATAAGGACATGCGCAGACACGGCTTTCTGATTGGTTCTTCCCTCTGTCTAGGGAGGGCGGGCAGAGCCAATGTTTAAGCAACACTGGGTGGGGGCAACCTGGATTATTATTACTTTGTATTTTATTTTATTTATTTTTTTATCCTGACCCGAGGACATTTTTCCATTTTTTGTTCAGATAGAGTGGGAGGGAGAGAGAGGAAGAGAGAGAGAGAGAGAAACATCGATGTGAAAGGGACACATCGAGTGGTTGCCACCCACAGGACCCAACTAGGGCCGGGGATAAACTGCAACGGGGCATGCGCCCTTAACAGGAACCAAACCCGGGTCTCTCTGGACCCCAGGCCGACACTAACCGCTGAGCCAAACCGGCCAGGGCTCTATTACTTTTTAAATTAAGGAGTACTGGTGCCCTGGCCGGTTTGACTCAGTGGTTACAGCTTGGGCCTGAGGACAAAAGAGTCACCATTTGATTCCGGTCAAGGGCATGTCCTTCGGTTGCCATTCGATCAGGCCCTGGTTGGGGTCATGCTGGAGGCACCAATCCATGTGTCTCTCTCACATCCATGTTTCTTTCTCTCTCCTAACTTTGTCTGAAAATAGATGGAAAAATATCCTCGGATGAGGATTTTAAAAAATAAAATAAAAATATATTGTTGTCTACTTTTTTAAAAATCTAAATTAAGGAATACTAGCATAATAATTAAGATAGCGCTCTAGCCCTGGCTGGTTTGGCTCTGTGGTTGGTCCATCTGCCTGGGACTAGAGAGTCCCAGATTGGGTTCCCGCTAGAGGCACATACCAAAAATAAAAGATAGCGCTGTACAATTCAGAGATTTCTGTTCACAATCTTCATTAATCCAAGGGCATTTTGGGGGCAAGAACTATTATTACCCCCAGTTTAGTGTGAAGGCAGCTGGGGTTCAGAGAAGTCAGTTAAGTTCCCAAAGTCACAGAGTGAACATTAATTAGGGAGACTGGAATGAAACTCCAGGTCTGGCCCAGCCAGTGTGGTTCAGTGGATTGAGTGAATCCCATGGACTGAAAGGTCCCAGTTCGATTCCCAGTCAGGGCACATGCCCAGCTTTGGGGCTCAATGCCCAGTAGTGAGGACGTGTAGAAGGCAGCCCATCGAGGTATTTCTTGCACATCCATGTTTCTATCTTTCCCTTCTTCTCTCTCTAAAAAATCAATTTAAAAAGCATTTTTTAAAATTGCCAGATCCTTGGTATGTGGTATTAATTATATTTTAAAAGGAAAGAAAGAGCCCTGGCTGGTTTGGCTCAGCGGTTAGAGCGACGACCTGTGGTCCGGAGAGGCCCGGGTTCAGTTCCTGCTAAGGGCATGTACATCAGTTGCAGTTTGTCCTTGGCCCTGGTTGGGTCCTGTGGGTGGCAATCACTCGATGTGTCCCTTTCACATCGATGTTTCTCTCTCTCTCTCTTCCTCTCTCTCCCTCCCGCTCTATCTGAATAAAAAAATTTTTAAAAAAAGGAAAAATGTCCTCGAGTGAGGATAAAAAAAAAAAGAAAGAAAGAAAGAACCTGGGCCCTGGCTGGTTTGGCTCAGCAGTTAGAGCATCAGCCTGCGGTCCAGGGAGACCTGGGTTCGGTTCCCGCTAAGGGCATGTATCTCGGTTGCAGTTTGTCCCCAGCCCTGGTTGGATCATGCAGGTGGCAGCCACTCGATGTGTCCCTGTCCCTTTCACGTCTGTGTTTCTCTCTCTCTCTCTCTCTCTCTCTCTTTCTCCCATTCTCTCTCCCACTCTATCTGAACAAAAAATGGAAAAATGTCCTCGGGTGAGGATAAAAAAAAAGAAAGAAAGAACCTGGCCAGTGTGACTCGGTAGTTGAGCATCGACCCATGCACTAAGATGTCGCCAGTTCAATTCCTGGTCAGGGCACATGCTCAGGCTGTGGGCCCGATCCCCAGTTGGGGACATGCCAGTTGGGGACATGCAGGAGGTAGCCAATCAGTGTTCTCTCTCATTAGTGTTTCTCTTTCTCTCTCCTCGTCTCCCTTCCTTTCTCTCTAAAATCAATAAAGAAAAAAAAAAACTTTTGTTTTTAAAGAAAAGAAACTCCAGATCTGTCTGACTCTCAGACAGATGTGTTTGGGACACTTCCCTGGACATTACTCTCTTCCACTCCTCTGGCTTCGATTTACCCACTAGTCCCCAAGCTCCCAAGGACAGGAGCAGAGTGGGCAGAAAGAGAAAGAGTGGACTAACATACTAAACTGACATGACAAATGCAATGAGACACTTCGTGGAGCCTGGAGTTTCTCAGCCCTGACCTCCAGGGCCAGAGCTTTAGAATCAGACCTGGAAGGCATGCCCACTGTCAACCAACGAAAGGTCAGTGTTGCCAATCCAACAACAGGAGTCCCCAACTTGAGGGATGGCACAGGAGAGACTTTATTCAGTAAAAACAGCTCTCCTGAGGGATGGCTTGGCCGAGGGAATGGCTAAGGTAAACCAGGTCAAGCATACAGCTCAGTTTACAAACAGGGAAAATGTAGCCAGGTGCTCTGCTGAGGCAGCAGTGAGGTGAGGCTGGCTTGTATAAAGACAAGTGTCCATCCCCTAGTCTCCCTGATGGGTCCATTCCCATGTAAATGAGGACTCCAAATTTGCACAGTTTGATCGGTCCATATAGTACTGTCCTGACTGTTACACTGCATAGTTGGTCAGTAAATATGCAATTGAGGATATCATTGCACAGCTCCAATTGAATAGGGCAGGTTTTCAGCCCATTGGTCAATCTTCGATCCTAGGAGCTCTCTTATAAGGGTCAGCTCAGATAGTGACAGGAGAATAATGCAGGAGGCTGGCAGCCCAGTCTGTGGCTTTCCCCTGATATGCAGCTTGGGTGAGAAGCCTCTGTAGACAATGGCTACTAGACTCCGGTTATGAATTTGAGCCCATAACCAAAAGGAGTCCTTGGCAGATATTTTCCTTCTAGGGGGTCAACACTACCTATCATTCAGTTGGGGAAACTGAGGCTAGGGAAGGGGACTACCTGGTTTGGGATCAGCTGGCATATGGAGGATGGAAATAAGAATATCTGGGGTAGACCTGGGTTCGGTTCCCGCTAAGGGCACTTACCTCACTTGCAGTTTGTCCCTGGCCCTGGTTGGGTCATGCAGGTGGCAGCCACTCGATGTTTCTCTCTATCTCTCTCTCTTCCTCTCTCTCCCTCCCACTCTACCTGAACAAAAAATGGAAAAATGTCCTCAGGTGAGGATAAAAAAAAGAATTATCTGGGGTAACTGTTTTCCAGGCAAAGGTCATAGCAAGTATAAAGGCCCTGAGGCTGGAAGAAAGATGGATAGTTAGGGGAACTCAATCAGAGTGGGGGTTGGGGGACGAAAGCAGAAACGACACTGGAGGGGTGCTCAGGAATCTGACCATAGTGAGCCTAGGGGCCTCAGCTCAAACTGTCACCAATCCCCCTATGCTCATACTTCCATTTCCTCACTAGCTCAGAGTGAAGGCCGAACCTGTGCTCTGGAAGGGCCAGACTCCTGGGGCTGGAAGCCTCTTAACAGCACATTCCAGATGCAACTGCCCACATGAGCATGTGCACTGTGAGGCACAGTGATGTCATTTGCTGGGAATGTCTTCAACAGTATCCTCCCAAACCTGTCCAAGCACAAACACACCCCAAGATGCCCTGAGGGGTACTGACTTCAGAACTGACTCAAACCTGGAGTTGCCTTCCTGACTCTGGAGGGTGGGTGGCTGAATCAGCTGAGCCTGGTGTCCTAAGACCTAGAGACATCCCCTTGCATTCCATAAGTCTGGCAGAACCAGGAACCTGGGCTGGAAGCCAAGACTCCTGAATTATTTCATCTTTCCTTATGCCTCAGTTTTTCTTCTATTCTGTGGGACATCAGATGCCCCAAACTAGTATTTCCCCAAGATCTGGATTCCTGGATCTTAGCGACAAGAAAGCTATTCTTTCAGTCCCACTAAAACATGGGGAAGTTAAATATACGTGCCCACCTATATTTAATTTCTATCTCAGTTCCCTGGCTATGATATTAATGACCTGAAAATTTGTCACCTGGATGTGATATTATTGACCTGAAAATATAAGATGACTATAATCCATGCCCTGGCCAGTTTGGCTCAGCAGTTAGAGCGTTGGCCCGCGGACCAGAGAGTCCCGGATTCAGTTTCCGATAAGGGCACGTACCTCGGTTGCAGTTTGTCCTCAGCCCCAGGTGTATTTATTTTGTTGTTATTGTTAATCCTCACCTGAGGATATTTTTTCTATCAATTTTTTAGAGAGAGTAGAAGGAAAGGGATAGAGGGGGAAAGACACATCAATTAGTTGCCTCCTGCATGTGCCCCAACTGGGACTGGAATTGAACCAGCAACCCAGGTATGTGTTCTTGACAGGGATCAAACTTGAGACCCTTTGGTGCAGGGCCAACTCTCTAACCACTGAGCCACACCAGCCAGGGCTCCTTGTATTTCTATTTAAAGACAATGTGTCAATATATGGCACTAACTTTCCATTCCTGATGGTGATATCAAGTTTCCTTGTAAAACTTAAGCAAGCAAAACATTGATAAGACACAAGCTAGGTGGAGGCACATGTAATTAAATGGGGAATACGAGGTTGAAGTTTGGGCAATGCCCTGTTTTAGAAACTGTTCGTGTATGCCAGGTCTCACCCAAATAATGTTGTCCAAATTGAGCCAGGAGACATTCAGATGAACTCAGGTTGTGGGTCACTCTATGACACTTCAGAAGTGTCCTTGTTGAGAAAGCCAAGGAAAGGTGGGGATCTCTAGATGGAAGGAGATGGTATCCAATTACCGTAAACAACAGAATTACTGCCTCCCAGTTTTGGAGGCCAGAAGTCCAAACTCAAGGTGTGGACAGGGCCATGCTCCTTCCAAAGGCTCCCAGAGAGGGTCCTTCCTGCCTCTTCCAGCTTCTGGGGGCTCTAGTGGTCCCTGGGTTTGTGGCCGCACCCCTCTAATCTCTGCCTCTGTTGCCACGTGTCTTTTCCCTGTGTGTCTATTAAACCTTTCTCTGTCTCTCTTCTAAGAATACTTGTGACTTCATTTGGAGCCTGCTAGGATGATCTCCTCATTTGAAAATCTTAACTTAATTGCATCTGCCAAGACTCTTTTTGCAAATAAGGTAAAATTCACAAGTTCCAGGGATTAGAATGTGGACATATCTTTGGGGGCCATTATTCAGCTGATCCCAAAGTCTAAAAAGAGAACTGAATGTGCTTCATGGTTTGAGATCAAGAAAAAAAGCTATTCAAGAACACTGTGGGGACCCTAGGAGACATTTTGAGCATGGATGGTAGATTCGATTGCAGGTTGGTTATGATGAAGGAATGTGACTTTAGGAGACATATCCAATGTGCTTACAGGGAAAGTGGCACTATTCCTGTGGCTCATTCTCAAATATTCAATTACATAAAAACATTACATGTGTGCTTATTGGTTTTAGAGAGAGAGGAAGGGAGAGGGAGAAAAATAGAAACATTGATGAGAGAGAACATTGATTGGCCGCCTCCTGCATGCTCCCACTGGGGATTGGGCCCACAGTCTGGGCATGTGCCCTGTCCGGGAATTGAACCGGTGACCTCTTGGTGCAGGGGTGGACGCTCAACCAGTGAGCCACACCGGCCGGGCACATGTGTGCATTTTTTTAGATGTAATGTAAGCTCAATTGCCCTGACCAGTTTGGCTCAGCGGTTAGAGCGTTGGCTTGTGGTCTGGGTTCGGTTCCCGCTGGGGGCACGTACCTCAGTTGCAGTTTGTCCCCGGCCCTGGTTGGGTCGTGTGAGTGGCGACCACTCGATGTGTCCCTTTCGCGTCGATGTTTCTCTCTCTCTCTCCCCCTCCCACTCTATCTGAACAAAATATCAAAAAAATGTCCTCGGGTGAGGATAAAAAAAAAGAATACAGCTCAAGTAACTTTCACAAATCAAACACACAGGTGTCCAAAGAACACCCAGCTGCCAAATCCCCTCACGTTCCACCCTGTCACTGCCCCTGCATGTGATACTCTTATGCCTCACACCATATGTTGGTTTTCTTATTTTAGAATGTCACAGAAATGGACCTCTTTTGTGTCCTTCAGCTTCTATTCAATATGATGTCTGAGGTTCATCCATATTGTGTGTTTCATGAGGTTATTCCTTTTCATGGCTGCATAGTATTCTCTTATGTGCATTTGCTGCAGTGTATTAACCCATTCTAATGCTGATGGAGAGCAAAAAGAAGATATAGAATTGAGAATTCCAGGAAAAGAACATGCATTGTGCTTTACCCACTAAGATGACTATAATCCATGCCCTGGCCAGTTTGGCTCAGCAGTTAGAGCGTTGGCCCGCAAACCAGAGAGTCCTGGATTCAGTTCCCGCTAAGGGCATGTACCTCGGTTGCAGTTTGTCCCCAGCCCCAGTTGGGGTCGTGTGGGTGGCAGCCACTCGATGTGTCTCTCTCACATCAATGTTTCTTTCTCTCTCTTCCTCCCTCTCTCCCTCCTGCTCTATCTGAAGATAAATGCAAAAATATCCTCTGGGGAGGGTTAAAAAAAAAATGACAGACAATCACAAGTGCTACCGAGAATATGGAATAACTAAAACCATCATGCACAGTGGACAGGAATATAAAATGGTGCGGGTGTTGTGGAAAACAGTCTGGAAGTTCTTTTTTTTCTTTTTTTAATTCCTCACCTGAAGATACTTTTCTATTTATCATCAGATAGAGTGGGAAGGAGGGAGGGAGAGAGACAGAGACAGAGAGAGACAGAGAGAAACATCAATGTGATAGAGCCACATCGACTGGTTGCCTCCCACATGACCCAACCAGGGCTGGGGATAAACTGCAACCAAGGTATGTGCCCTTGACCAGAATCAAACCTGAGACTCATTGGTCCACGAGCCGACGCTCTAATTGTTGAGCCAAACCAGCCAGTGCCAGTCTGGAAGTTCTTTAAAAAGCTAATCTTAGCCCTGGACAGTTTGGCTCAGCGGCTAGAATGTCAGCCCATGGACCAAAGGGTTGCAGGTTCAGTTCCAGTCAAGGGCACATACCTTGGTTGCAGGTTCAATCCCCAGCCCCATTTAGGGTCATGCAGGAAGCAACCAATCATTGTGCCTCTCCCACATTGATGTTTCTCTCTGTACATCACCTTCCCTCCCTCCCGCTCTATCTAAAAATCTATGGAAAAATATCCTCGGGTGAGGATTAACAACAACAACAACAACAAAAAAGCTAATCACAGAATAATCATATGGCCCAGGAATTCTACTCCTAGATATATACACGAGAGAAATGAAAACATATAAATATATGTTCATAGCAACACCAGTACACACATGTCTACAGCAGCATGATATACAACAGCCAAAGAGCCAAAACATAGAAACAACCAAGTACCCATCAGTGAGTAAATGGATAAACACAATGTGGTCCATCCACACACTGAAATATTACTTGCTGTGAAAAGGAAGGAAGGATGGACCTCGAAAACACAATGCTCAGTGAGAGAAGCCAGACACAAAAGAACATGTAGTATGTGATTCCATTTAGTGAAATGTTCAGAATAGGCAAATCCACAGGCAGGAAGTGGGTTAGTGGGTGCCAGAGGTTGGGCAGGTTGTAGGGAGTAGATGCTAATGGGGAAGAAGCTTCATTTTGGGGTGATGGAATGTTCTGGAACTAGACAGAGGTGGTTGAAAACTTTGCATGTACTGAAAACACTGTGTGGTATGTGAATTATATTTCAGTGAAGCTGTTATTAAACTCCAACACCTGGGGCAGGGCCAGCTTCCCGGGTGTAGATCCCATCCATCACATAGATCCCCCAAATCCTCCTGGAGGGTGGAGTGGGAACATTCTAGGAAGGAAAGAGCAAATTTCTGGCTGGCTGGTAAATGTGGAATGTTATTCCAAGTCTGTGTGCTGTACCTCTGCCCATAGGTTGTAGAGTATTTCATTCCATCCTTCTAGCCTTCCCTTTCTGGGCCCATTTTCCAGAGAAGAAACTGAGGCTGGGGAGGTGATGAATGCATGCAGGTCCCTCAGGTGCTGGCCTCAGGGCCTCCAGTGTGGTGAGACAGGCTGGACTGTACCCAGGCCATAGGCTCATCCTCCCCAATCTGGGGTGCTGGGGCTTGGGCATTTGCCACAGCCCCTGTGTGGTCCTCCTGTGGCCAGGAAGAAGGATCCGGGGAATCCCCATAGTCACCAGGATGGCAACTCAGCTTCCTGCTGGACCAGTTACCCCTCCAGTGTTCCATTAGGGCAAGCTTGTTACCTTTTGTTCACCCCAGTGCTATTTAAAGATGCCACCTGGGGCCATGGCTCTAGGACTGGGCTGATGGGAGCAGAGGGTCAGGGATTGGAACCCTGGGATGTGTCCCATGTGGGGTTGTGGGGAAGTTGCTGCCCCTTCCAGGCCTGTTTCCCCACCTATCACCAGTGCCTATTGACTTTGAATCTGTGAGGTTCACTGTAATCACCATTCAGGACCAAGGGCATGGGATGGTCCCCAGTGTGGCTTGGATGTGTCTGTAAATGATGAGTAGGTGTGGGTATAAACAAGGCTGTCCTACTCCTAATGCTTAGGACATGCAGCTCGGGACACTGGGAATGGGGTGCAGGCCTCCGTCACCATCCACTGGCCACAGACATGCCCATGGGTCCATCTTCCCATTGACCACTCTCCCATTCACCCACCCACAACACCCCATCCACACACCTGCCCAAATGCCTTGTGTGCACACTGTTTCCCAAGCGTTCATCTGCTCTTGCATCCACAAGCTCCCCCACTCCCACGCCCACCACTTAGCGAAGATTCCTGCCCAGGGCTGGCTCTCAGGAAACTCGTTTGGAGGGCAGACCAGTTCCACCTGGGCATGCTCGGTCAAGGGGCCTGGCCAGAACAGACAACACTCCGCCAGAACTTCCCACCCAATCTCTGACCCCTAAGCAACTCTACTTCTCTCTGTCTGTCTGACTTATCCTCTCTCTCCCATATCTGTCTGTCTGTCTGTCTCTCTCTCTCTCTCTTATCCGGCTTTCCCTGTGTCTCATAATCTCCGTTTCTCCATCTTCGTCTCTATTTCTTTTTGTAGCTCTGCCTCAGCCTCTTTGCCTCTCACAGTCTCTGTATCTCTGTCTCTCTCTTTCCATGTTTCTCGTCTTTCTCTGCCTCATTCTCACTGTCTGTTTCTCAAGTCTCTGTCTCTGTTCCTCAGTCTGTTTCTATTTCTGTCTCTATGTCTCTGTTTCTATCTCTGTCTATCTCTATCTCTGTGTCTCTGACACACACACACACACACACACACGGCAGCCCCTGCCTGCCAACCCGGTTCCTCAGTCTGTTTCTATTTCTGTCTCTATGTCTCTGTTTCTATCTCTGTCTATCTCTATCTCTGTGTCTCTGACACACACACACACACACACACACACACACTGTGTCTCTGACACACACACACACACACACACACACACACACACACACACACACACACACACACACACACGGCAGCCCCTGCCTGCCAACCCGGTGACTCACATACAGAGCATAAGACAAACACACGCGGAGGCCCCAGCGGGTTTTCCTGAATGGGCCGCCCCCGCCCCTCGCCCACCACATCCTGGCCCCGCCCCAATTGCCCCGCCCCCCAGGCTCTCCATTGGCCCGCACAGGGCGGCCCCATTCGGACTCTGTCCCTGACTCAGCAATGGCAGAGCCGCAGACTTGCCACGGGAGGCAAAAGCCGGCAGCGAGCGGGCGGCGAGGCCATGCGCAGCCGTCTGTGGCTGGGCCTCGCATGGCTGCTGCTGGCCCGGGCTCCCAGCGCTGCGAGGACCCCAAGCGGTCCGCGGAGACCACGTAGCTACCCACACCTAGAGGGCGACGTGCGCTGGCGGCGCCTTTTCTCCTCCACCCACTTTTTTCTGCGCGTCGACCCCAGTGGCCTCGTGCAAGGCACCCGCTGGTGCCACAGCCCTGACAGTGAGTCGCGTGGGGCTGCCCGGTGACGGGGGTGAGGGGAAGGGAGGTTCTGGGCAAATAGGCGGCAATAACAACTGCAGTAATCTTAACGATGAGCTGGGCCCTCCGTCACGCGATGGAGAGGCCCAAGGGGCTCCTGTGGTTGTATGGCATTGGCCAAATAATTTACTTTCTGGGGCTTCATTTTCCTCAATTGTAAAATGGGCCAAACACAAATGGTCCCAGAGAAGCTCTGGCTCAGTAGCAGAGAAGGGTCTTTGCAGAGTAGTTGAGTTGAGGCTCTCTGGGCCCATTTGCAGAGGGGAAACTGAGACTCCAGAAAGTTATATGATGCAGTGGGGCAGAGAGCTGGGCTCTGAACTCGACTCCCACAATGCAAAACAAAACTCCGGACCTGCCTGGGTTTCGGATCCCTTTATTTCTTCCTAGGAAACTGAGGCAGAGAAAAAATGACCTTCCCAGGGTCACACTGCTGGGGGGATGGTGTTGCTAGGGCTTCTTGATGTACAAGAACCTCATCAAGTTGGAGTCACTGTCCCTACTGCCCCACCCAGTAAACAATAGGCACTCAATAAGTATCTGTGGAATGTAAGAAGCAAGAGGAGATGCAGGAGCAGAGAAGGGGGTTGGGGACAGCTGGGAGGCCAGAGTGGTCAGTGACTCCATGGGCCTGCCTCAGTCTCCTCACAACTCTGAGGTCTGGGCAGGGAGAGCTGGGAGGATGGAGCTAATTGCTGGCCACTGCTGAATTACCACCATTAGGGCAGATAATCACCCCTGCCCTTCCCAACTGCTTTCATCTGGGGCTCCCAAGGCCCTCATTAGGTTCACCATACCAGGGCCATGACAGGGGACTGGCTGGGCCGGTTGACTGGTGGTGGACACAGCCAGGCAGGGTGGCCTTAGGCCTGGTTCTGCTGGGTGTTCTGAGACAGTTGCTGCTTCTCTCTGAGCCCCGGTTTCTCCATCTAGGCAGTGATAGGGTGATAATGGATGGCTCTGTGGGGAGTGGGCTTGGAGGTCTTGTGTCCTTTATTGATTCGGTGGTTATTAATTGGGCACCTCTTGTATGCTGTGCTGGGCACAAGGGACATAGCAGTGACCAGGACAGCTCACCCTCATGGGGTCCCAGAGCAGAGGGTAAAACAGTTAAACACGTGAACAAGTAATAGGATCATTTCAGAGGGGACCACATGAGATGCAAAGAAAGTGAAAACAGGGCAATGTACCAGAGGTGACTGAGGGATCTTGGGGGCCTTTCCAAGGAGGTGAGCTTGAGTTGAGCCTCATTTCAAGAAAAGGAGCTGACCATGCACAGGGGCCTGCCTGAGGAAACAGCAAGTGCAAGGCCCCATGGAGCATGGGGTGAGCTCTTCAGTCTTCCAGACTGAAGACCAGAGGGAAAAGCCTTGACTCCAGATTAGACCCCAGTGCATGGGTGGGGCTGAGGGTGTGTGTAGTTGTTCATCCCGAAGTCCTGCATCGCTGGATAGGAAACTGGCTCAGAGCTGGGCAGGGCTTGCCCAGGGACACCCACCAATTGATGGGACCTGAAGCTGGCTGTGCACCTTTCCAGGCCTTAAGTTTTCCACTCTGGGAAGTGGGCACAGTCAGCACCTCTCACCTGGAGCTGTTGTGTGGGTTTAGTGAGGTACAGTGCTTGGCATACAGTTGGCGCTCAAGTAGTGTTAGCAGCTATCAAGTTGAATGCACTAAGTTATAAACACCCCACCTTCCACCCTCAGACCTTTGCCTGGGCCATGCCTCCCTTCTGGAGTTTCGTCTCCCCATTAACTACATGGCTGCAGCTGGCTGAGCTGTCAGGGCTGGACATGGCAAAGGCAGTGAGAACTATAGGGAGAGGCTGCGCAGCCCCATAGTCACTGTTAACTCACTTGTTCTTACTGAAATCAACAGCTCACCCTGGCAAGCACCTACCTCCTCTGGTTTGGTTTTCTCATCACTGACCTAACCAGGACCCTCTCCTGCTTTGCAGTTTGCTCTGGTTCCCCAGTACCCTTTGGAGAAAGCCAGACCCCTCCCCACTTACAATTTTCAATGTGTCAGGGCCACATCCTCAGGACAGCTCCTGGTGGGCCTCTGTGGTCTCCAGTGTATCCCCATACCCAGCACAAGGCCAGGCACACAGGTGGTGCTTGGTGAATGTTACCTGAATGAATGAATGTACGAATGTACAAATGAATGAATGAGAGTACATGGGGAGCAGATGGTGGCTGAGGGCCCTGACCAAGCCCTTCCCAGCAGGCATCATTGAGATCCGCTCCATCCGCGTGGGCGTCGTGGCCCTCAAGGCTGTGCACACCGGTTTCTTCGTGGCCATGAGCCGCTGGGGCCACCTCTATGGGTCGGTGAGTGCATGGTGGGGGTGGCCGGTGGTGGGCAGGTACTGGCAGGAAACGGGGGTCCAGTGGCCTCCTCATGTGCCCGACCCCTGCAGCGGGTCTACACTGCTCACTGCAGGTTCCAGGAGCGCATTGAGGAGAACGGCTACAACACCTACGCCTCACTTCACTGGCATCACCAGGGTCGGCCCATGTTCCTGGCACTGGACAGGCGGGGGGCCCCGCGACGTGGTGGCCGGACCCGGCGGCACCACCTATCCACCCATTTCCTGCCTGTCATGGTCTCCTGAGGCCCCGAGGGGCCATGAGGAACAGCTAGACAAGATTCCAGAAGACACCTGGGCAGGCGGCCAGGGACCAGAGGTTGGAAGAGGCCCAGGCTGTGGCCAAACCATATCTGGTCACTCATTCATTTCACAAGCATTAAGTGCCTACTATGTGCAGGGCACTGGGGACCCTGCAGGAACCCCACAGATGCAGCCTGGCCCTCATCTGAGTCTGAGGGGGGTGAACACTGAGCTGAGCAGGGGCTGTGTCCAGTCATGAGCTGGGGAGCATATAGTCCCCAACAAGGCACCTCCTGGACTAGAGACTGAAGGATCAGCTATGAGGTCACCAGGTCTGGGAAGAACATTCTGGGCCAGGGCACAGCCTATCAAAGACTCAGCAGTGGGAACCCACTAGAGTGTTGAGGCAGGGAGGACAAGGGGAGCTGGGAGAGAGGGAGTTGGGGCCAGGAGAGGGCAATAAGGACATGCCAAAGGGTGACAAGTCTTGTGGACATATTGCCTCTCATGGTAAAGGGACTTTACAGGTGGGATTAAGTCAAGGCCCTGAGATGGGGGTGATCCTGCATTATGGGGGGCCCAGTATCATCACAAAGGTCCTCATAAGAGGGAGGTGGGAGAGTCTGAGTCAGAGATGGAAGAGGCTGTGCTACTGGCTGTGAAGATGGAGGAGGGGCCATGAGCTAGGTATGTGAAATCTCTAGAAGCTTGAAAAGGCCAGAAATGGTTCTCCCTGGAGTTTAAGGAAGGACTAGTCCTGCCCACACCTGGGTTTAGCCCCCTGAGACTTTTATGTAAGACTCCTGATCTCAGAACTATTAAGAGAATAAATGTATGTGGTTTAAGCCACAAAATTTTAGTAGTTTGTCACAGCAACTGTAGAAATATACACACGGGGTCTGAAATTGAATAATGTCTTCAGGTCTCCTCAGTTCTTCTGCCATGTACAGGCTGAGAAGCTTCATAACAGTGTCCTCCACAGATTGGGGGTGAAGAGGGGTACATGGGAAGTGCTATGCCTGGGGGAGTACCCACTACCTTCCCAGCACCCCTGGGCTCCCCCACCCCAGGGCTAAGCTCTACAGCCTTGGGCCAGACAATTCCACTCCAGGCCTCAGTTGCCCCTTCTATAAAGTGGGGATGCTGATGCCATTTACCCCATGGGGTTTTATGGGGAGCTAACATGGGAGCTCCTCCCAAGCCAAGGTGGGACATTCTGCTTGGGGCAGGTAACAGTCCCTGGGGGTGAGGTGAGGGCTCCCACCCCTCCTGGCCTCCTCCTGTCACTTAAAATACAGAAAACAAAGGGTCACTTACTAGAGGGTGTGCAGAATGGACACTCACTGTGGTCAGAGCCAGCAGTTCCATCTGGGTGACCCTGCACTCCAGAATAGCCTTGGCACATGAACACTGCTGCAGTAAGGACGGGCTGGGGAGGCCCCATCTGACAGTTCAGAACATTGGGGTTTCCTATTTCACATTTACAATGCAGTGACCCTCTGCACCTTCTTTTTGAATGTCACCAGCCCACTTCCAGGGTTGTTTGGGACATTGGTGTTGGCTGGTGTCCAAGAGGCACAACCCCAGGGTCCGGCGCAGAAGGAAAACGCCAACCACCTGCTTCTCTTTCTAAGTAGGTGTATTTTTAAATAACTTCCAAGATACACATATTTTTTCCTTTAAAAAACGTCTGTCAGAGCAGTTTTGTTCTGTTTTGCTGGTCATTCTTGTGGTCCCAAGCCCCCTGCGCTCAAGGTGGGGACTGTTGGACTGTCTGGTGGGGCCAAGACCCCAGCTGAGTGGCTCTACCCCGTCTTTCCACAGATCATGCAGGGCCGTGTGTGAGCTAACGTCCATTTATTTCAAAGCAGTAATAATTTAAAATTATAAAAACCTTTCCACTGTTGAACATGTAGAGGGTGAGGTTAGAGACAAATGGGACAGGGGATGCTGGGGACGCCTGGTGGCGACATATGCCCTGCACTCCACTGTGCCTAGCCCCTCAGGGGACATCCCTAGGGGAGGTCTGGGCTTCCTCCACAACCTGGAGGCAGTGGGTCCTCCGAGCATCTGCCCACAGCTCGGGGCACAGCTGGCACCGGAGTCCATGGGAGCCACGGTTGTGTAAGAGCTGAGGAGGATGGGGCGGCACCTCCTGGGCTCCGGGACGCCAATGTCCCCCATGCCCGCAGGGCCTGGTGCTGCCCGGGGTCCTGTGCTTACTCTGGGGACTGGTGGGGGGACTCAGGAATTGCTTGCTGGGTTCTCATTGCTGGGCGAGCTGGAAGAGGAGGATGACGAGGAGGAGGAGAAGCTCACCCCAGTTAGCCCTGGGGGATTGGTGGCTGTGTTCTGTCCTGTGAGGCTTTTTCGGCAGACGGGGCAGCTGTCGTGCTTTGTAGGGAGAGGGAAGCATTTCAGAGGCAGACAGGGGCAGGACTGGGGAGGGCCCTGTGGCAGTGGCCACCCACCTGCTCACCTGCTCCAGCCAGGGCACAATGCAGCCATCATGGAAGAGGTGGTTGCAGGGCAGCTGCCGCACACGCTCACCCAGCTCGTAGTCATCCTTGCACACGGGGCACTCCAGCCCGGAGCCTGTGGGGAGAAGGGAATCTCTGTGACACACCAACCCAAGGTGTCCCATTGGAGAGACTGCCCATCCAGGGCCACCTCAGACCCAGGGGAGAGAGAGAGGCTGTGTCCTCAGTCCTGTATCCCAGGGGAACAGAGGGGACACTTATAAAGCCTCCCCTTCAAGCCGACCTTTGGTCCAACATAAAGGTCCTAGGGAAAGTGTCTCAAAGAGAAAAGAAGCTGGGTGACTGAGGGCCACGTACCTACGTGTTCCTCGGTGACAGGGACGGTGGGGAGGGCCTGGATTTTCTCTTTGTCTGCGGGTGGGGGGCCTGTGTTTTCAAACTGATTGAGGAGCTGAAAGACAAGAGGCCAGAGTGCAGGAGCCCCGCCCGACTCTGAAATGCAAGGCTGTTACCTGCAAAAGCACCGAGGCCGTGTTTGTCCTGGTCCCCTGGACCCCTCATTTAGGGGTTAGAGGACAGTCACTCCATGAGCCCCAGGCATGGGCTCCTTCCCACTCTTCTGCTCATCTAGTTAGTGTCACCTCACAGTCAGGGCAAGAAGATGGGGTCCTGGGGCCGAGGGTCCCACCCAGGGGCTCATGCGGTCCTGCATCCTGTGAGACATCAGCTAGAACCAGAGGGCTGGATCCCACCAGAGACAAAATACTCAAAGGAATCATTGGTGAGCAGCCCTGAAGGTGGCAATGTTCCTGCCTCACAAGTGCCACTAAGGTCATGGTGAACACCCATCCCAGGACGTGGTGAGAATGTGGAGACCCACGTAGGACAAAGCCAGGACCCATAGCGCCCAGCACTCGGTTTCCTGCTCTACGATGGTACCATGCCAACAGGAAGCATTTGGCTGGCCCAGCCTCAGGATGGAAGGAATAAGGAGCTGGGAAGCACAGTGTCCACACCAGGGATGCAACCCATCAGGGACACACTCCTATAGTCTTCTCAGTACTCAAGGGCGTGGGCCTGTCAAAACTCCTCCTCCCATCTGAAGGAAAGATAGTGATGCCCCTACTGCCACCTGGGGAGGCCAGCCCGTACCTGTGTGATGATTGCATCCAGCCCGTTGGCCCCCCAGGCGTAGTCCATCGGGTTTGAGTGCAGGACACCCCTGGGCAGAGACGTGTGGGGTTCAAGTGGCAGAGGGGCTAGATGGGGCTTAGGGGGCCCACCCACTTACTCACCAGGGGCCCAGGCCCAGGTTGGGGATGGTGGCTGGAGTGATGATGCCATTGACCAACTGCTGGATGATCCTGGAACAGAGCAAGGCCAGGCCTCCAGTCAGTGCCTTCCCAGGGCCAGGGCCCTCCGGGGGAGGACACACAGAAAACTCGATTCTGGCTTCTAAATCCACAGCATTTAAAGGTTGTGCTTTCACCATGGCCAGTTTGGCTCAGCGGTTAGAGCATCGGTGTACAAACCAAAGGGTCCCCAGTTCGATTCCAGTCAAGGTCATGGGGGAGGCAACCAATCAATGTCTCTCTCTCTCCCTCCCTCCCTCCCTTCCCTCTAAAAAACAAAAAAAAAGCCAATGGAAAAATATCCTTGGGTGAGGATTAACAAAAATAATAATAATTAAAAAATAAAGGTGGGCCCTGACCGGTTTTGCTCAGCAGTTGGAGTGCTGGCCTAAGGACCAGAGTCCCGGGTTCGATTCCCACTAGGGGCACGTACCAAAAATAAAATAATATAAAGTGTGTTTTTAACCAGTAAGAGAGATTCATAATGAGGACAAAAAATGAAACACAAGAGCAACCCAGAGATGCATCTCCCTCACTGAGTTCTGGGCCAGGTTTCCCCAAGGCCTGGATGGCACCTATGGCCCTGTCACCACATCCAAACCCCGTTATACAAACTGGGGAAACATCCTGGAAGCCGTGAGAGCTGTGGGGTCAGTCCTGCTGTTCATAACGGCCCTGAAACATCCAGCACAGATCCTGGTGTACCCAGAGCCCAAGGTCAGTGTGGTGTGGGTGCTGTTGAGATTAGACAGTTGGGGCATCAGGAAATGCCTCCAGCTCAGTGATGGAAATAAATAGGCTTGGTGTAGGTTTAAACCCATTTTAAATGATGTGGGTGCTTCATGTACAGTCAAGTACGTCTCAGAGATGTGTGAGAAGCCTAGCCCCACCTCCTCTGGAGGGATGGGGTCTGCAAGGAACATTCAGTTTTTATTCTCAGTCCTTCTGAGTTCCTCTCCCCTTTCTGTGCTGTCTTCAAGCTATAAAGAAGCCATTCTGGTGCCAACCTGAACACGGGAGGGGGCTAGGGACTCTGTTAGAGGGCAGAGATACCAGGAACTGCCAGTTTGATGCCACCTGGGACAAAGACCCAAAAGTGAACCAAGCCAATGAGGCCCTGCTCAGAAGGATGATGGGGACACCGAATAGACATGAGGCCCCCCGCCAGCCC